GGCTATTAAGAGCCAGGACAGGTCCAGACCTAGGTCAGGAGCCAAGAACTCCATCTGCTCTCCCACACTGGTAGCAGAGCTCCACAGACTTGGGTTACCTTCCTCTGCCTTTCCAGTTACATCAGCAGGGAGCTGCATCAGAAGAGGGGCAGCTTGGACTGGTATAGCGCTACCTTGGTTTATGGAAGGTACTACCCAGGGCTAAAGGGTACTGGAGCAGTTTTAACACATAAATGATATTCTCAAATGCAACATAAACTGATGACAATGCCACGAAGCAAAATATGTGCTACACACATGTGGCTATGTATGTCTTACTTCCTCCAACACTAAGCTACTGCACTGTGTGGGTCAAGATGTGCCTTATTGGCATGGCACAGTCTGTCTCCTCGTGCAAAGCAGATCCACATGGTTAGTTTTAGCAAGGAACCATGAGCACCTCTGCAAGGCATCTCAGCTACAACAGTGTTGTAGGGAAATGGTCCCAGGTGCTGAGCGTCTAGTCTGAAAACCCACTTCTATGAAAATGGAAACACCTGTGCTTCCTTTGTTTGCATCAGTGCTATACTCACAACATGAGGGAAGGAAGAAGACACAGAGGAAGGCAAGCTGAACCCAAAGAGTAGAAGTTCTCCCCAGCAGTACTCAGATGATGAAGGTAGCCTTGTGTTACCAGCCCAAATATCCTGCCTATGTTCCTAACTGACCTGATTGCAACCCTAGGCCATCCAATGGCTTGTGGAGTTAGAAGCTAACCTTCTTGATTCTAATTAGGCAAACTCAGCCAAAGAGTGGATCCCTTCCCGGCCCCTACAACAGCTGGCCTCCCTCCTGGGCCCTGTGTGTGAGAGAGCTAATTCCCAGCTCACGGAGGATTGCAGAGCCTTGTGTGAGCGAGCCTACCTGCAAAAAGTAGCTTCCACAATCACTCCCTCTGGGACATCTGGAAGAAATCAAGTTTATCTGCGGCAACAACTGGATTAAGGACAAAGAATGCTCTGGGAGGCAGAGGAAATCCCCAGATCTGTGGGCTCATGGGGGCCTGAAGATCTAACACAGGGATGACCCAGCCACTGTGCCATGCTCCCCACAGCGCCACCTAGGCTTCCAGCCTTCCATGTGCAAGATGCCCACCTGTACTTCCCGGAAGCTGGCAATGCAGTTGGCCGTAGCTATGAGATTTCCCTGCTTGCCTTGAAACCCCACTGTGGCCCACGGTCACGCCCATGCCACCCTGCCCTGCTTGCGGTGAAGCCCTGGGTCCCTGAGCTCATTAAAGCCAGGGTGTGTGTCTTTAATGGAAAAGAGCATGTATTTCCCAACCAGAGCTACTGCAGAGAGCAAGAGGCACCGGGTCTAGGAAACGCTCCGCCAGCAGCATCTAAGTGGGGACAAACAACGAGGAAGATGGCAGTGACCAGGGGAGCCCCAGTTCTCGGTATCCTGACAGTGGGATTTTGTCTTCCCCAGCCGGCAAAGCACGCAGCTGCTTCTCTCACACGTCTTTTCCAATACTGAACGAGCGTTGTTAGAACACAGGTATTTATCTGCTTTTTTAAAAAGACTGATTTTTTTTTTTAATTTGAAAGGCAGAGCAACAGAGAGAGAGAGAGAGAGAGAGAGAGAGAGAGAGAGAGAGAGAGAGAGAGAGAGAGAGAGAGAGAGACACAGGGAAAGGGCTTCCATCCACTGGTATACTCTCCAGATGGCTGCAATGGCTGGGACTGGGCCTGGCCAAAGACAGGAGCCCAAAATTCCATCCAGGTCTCCCACACGGATGGCAGGGGCCCAAGACCATCCTTTGCTGACTTTCCTAGCACATGAGCAGGGTATTAGAAGTGGACTTGCGGCAGTATCTATTGTGGGATGCTGGCATCACAAGCAGTGATCAACACATCATCACACAATGCCAGCCCCTTAACCTGCTTTTGTGACACCAGACATCCTTGCCAGGGTAGCAGAGCAGATAAATACTGTCTCAAAATAATGCATAAGGGCCCAGCACAGTAGCCTAGTGGCTAAAGTCCTTGTCTCGCATGCTCCAGGATCCTATGTGGGCAACGGTTTGTGCCCTGGCTGCTCTACTCCCCTTCCAGATCCCTGCTTATGGCCTGGGAAGGTAGTGGAGGACCACCCAGGGCCTTGGGAACCTACACCTGTGTGGGAGACCTGGAAGGGGCTGCTGGCTTCGGATCCGCGCAGCTCCGATATTGCAGCCACTTGGGGAGTGAACCAGTCGATGGAAGATCTTTCTCTCTGTCTCTCCTTCTCTCCTTAAATTTGACTTTCCAGTGAAAATAATTAAATCTAGTGACTGTATCAATTCACATTTCCACCCTCTGGGGCTAGCATTATGGTACAGCAAATGAAGCTGGTGCCTGTGACACCTGCAACCCATATGGGTGTTGGTTCGTGTCCCAACTGCTCCACTCCTGATCCAGTTCCCTGTCAATGGCCTGCAAAAAAGCAGAGGAACATAATCCAAGTGTCTGGGCCCCTGTCACCTACATGGGTGACCAGATGGGGCTGCTGACTCCTGGCTTCAGGCTGGCCTAACGAAGTCATCTAGAAATGGAACCAGCCGATGGAAGACCTCCATTTCTCTGTTCTTCTTTCTCCCTCTCTGTAACTTTAACTCCTAAGTAAATAAATCTTTGTTAAGAAGTACCTGTTTCTCTCCATCCAGCATTTGTTAACTTGCCTTTTTGATACTAACCAATCTGATAGGGGTGCAGTGCTAACGTGCTGTGGTTTTGATCTGCATTTGCCTGAGTGCATTTTCTCACACACCTGTTGGCCATCTGTAGCTCTCTCTTTGAGAAGTGTCTATTGAGGACCTTTGCCCATTTTGGTGGCAATGGACCTTGGCCACCATGCCAGTTGTTCTAACATTACTGACTGTTGCCCCCCCAGGGCAAACCTGGTTCTGCCCACTGTCTTTGAAAGGCCAGGCTCTGAACTGTACATCATAATATACACAAAACACAATTCAGCAGAAGCAGGCTGACCAGCTGCTAATGGGTAGCAAGACACCAGGACTTTCGTAATTCAATACTTAACCTTGGACCAACGGAATATTTTCCCACCACATGAAGATTTCTGAGTCCAAAATAAATTCCCAGTACTGAAAGTCTGCCTCAAGACAAGAAAAAAAAAATCCATGTATTTCTATTTCTTGGTGCTTTGTCTCCTACAGCACATTTGGAAAGACTAATTTAAAATAAGTAATGATCTGGTCATTTATAAATCTCATTCATTATGCATTTCTTTCATAAACCCAGGAGGTCCTTCTGACTAGTATGAAATTAGTCCAATGTCCTCTCCAAGAGTTTTAAGTGATTTTTCTAAGTTTGGTGAAATATCAGCTACTTCAGGTAAAAAGTATACAAGTAATGCTGATTAATATTTCGAGTAGCTTGATGTGTATTTCTCTGTGTCAAGAGAGGGTATGGCACTTTTTCCCAATAAACTCATACAGAAAAGACCCTTAGGGACCCAGAAGGTGCTGAGGCAGGCCATTTCAACTTCTGCACTTGTCAGCATCCCATATGGATGCCCGTTTGTGATCCAGATGCCCCACTTTCTTTAAAGATTTATCTATTTTTTTTTTATTGGAAAGGCAGATATACAGAGAGAAGGAGAAACAGAGAGGAAGATCTTCCATCTGTTGATTCACTCCCCAAGCGGCCTCACTGGCTGGAGCTGAGCTGAGCCGAGCTGATCCAAAATCAGAAGCCAGAAGCCCGGAGCCTCCTCTGGATCGCCCATGCAGGTGTAGGGTCCCAAGGATTTGGGCCATCCTCGACTGTTTTCACAGGCCACAAGCAGAGACCTAGATGGGAAGTGGGGCTGCTGGGATTAGAACCGGTGCACATACGGGATCCCAGTGCGTGCAAGGTGAGAACTTTAGCAGCTAGGTTACCACGCTGGGCCCCAGATGCTCCGCTTTCAATCCAGCATCCTACATATGACCTGTAAAAGCAGTGGAGAATGGCTCAAATGCTCGGGCCTCTGCACACATGTGGGAGACCAGTAAGAAGTTCCTGGCTCATTTCTGAACCATTTCAGCTATTAGGGGAGTGAAACAAGATCTCTCTCTTCGCAAAATCTTTCAAGTAAAAATAAACACATTTTAGAAAAAGTATCCTCAAGTTACTCTCATTTGATGAATAAAAGATTATTTTTCATTGCAAGGATAGATATCCTGGCATCATCACTTGTTCGTGATGGATTATATCGTTTTGGTATTCCACCAAAACGAAACTCTAATTGTTATAAATCACAGGTGTGATGCATTTTTGAGAATAATGATCAAAAGGGATGACTGTTTTTGAGCAACAGTAATTAAGCTTGAGTTTCTGGCCCAATGCTACAGTCATCTTTCAGAACTGTTTCAAAAGGCAAATGCCCTGAGCCCTGTGGCCTTGTCCTCCAGCCAGCAGGCTCCCACAGCTCACCGTTAGCCCCCGGGAGGAGACTGTGGGCTGCGGGAGGAAGTCCTGGAATAACAGACAGGCTGTGTGTTCACCAGGCTTGGGTTCAGGGCAGCCACTCCACCCAGAACCCTGGGGGCTCACACAGCCACTTGACGTGTTAGGGCAGGCATCCCTGTGTAGCAGCAAGGAAGGACAGATCTTATAAGATGAGGCCAAACAGTGACAGTTTCACATGGTCCAACTGACTGCAACGTACAAGCACAAAATACTTACACACAGGTACTCACAGAAACTGGAAATCGAAGCTAAATTGGTAAGACATGTGACATCACCAAGCCAAACTATCCCACCAGAGCAACAGCTGCTGCACATGACTTTATAGTGCAGTTTGTTTTTCCTTTGTTTCATTTTAAAATCACAGAACATCATCATCATCACCACGAGCTTTGCTGATCCTCATCCATGCAGGGCGGGGTGGGGGAATCTGATCCCTCAGGTTTCGATGGGGGCGTCCAGACAAGGGGGCTTCCCAGAGCAGAGCACACGGACAGGCACGTCACATACCTTGACAGCAACAGCTTGCCCCGAAGCTGCAAGTCAGTGGCGCAGTCCTCGGAGCGGCAGTTTCTTTCAAACACAGTCTGAGTGAGAGAAAGGGGGGAGACAACAACAGGAAGGTTGGAAGAGGGCTGGATGGCCAAAGAGCAGACAACAGCCAATTCCCTTCCCCCCCAAAAAACTGGCACGAGTTCTCCTGGGCCCTTCAACCCCGCTGCTCCCTGCACCACAAAGCCAGCTCCCCGGCACTCTTAAGGCCCCTGGGGGCCCCAACCATCACTAGGTGGAGCTTCATAACCACACTCATTTTGGGCTAATCCCTTGGTTTACCATAGAGCTTCTATGGGCAGTGGTTTCCAAAACAGGTATCCTTGGTGTCTTCAGATGTGTTCCAGTGTATACGTAGAGCCATGCAAACTGGCAATGCTTTCTTAAGATACCAACTGGCACCTGACTCTCACAGAAAGGCAGAACATGCGTGTCTGAGATAGCTTTCTCCCACTGAACAAGGTCCAGTAAAAAGGAGAAAGTCAAAAGCAATAGGACCTACCCCGCCCCCCCGAGTGGAAGGGGTTTCTAGCTTCTTGATTGGGCAGTCACCTCTCAGGAGGGACACACATGGACTTGCCTCTAATCAGGAACACTGCCCCCTTCCCGGTCCCCACCCCAGTGCTGGGGGCTTGATGACTGCTGCTATGTCAAACCCACATCCGTCCAGAAAGCTCATTTATGGAGCAGCTTTGCAAAGGCGCTAGAGCTTTCTTCTCTGTGGTTCACAGAGGGCTTGTTGGTCTTGCCCTGGGTCCGACCTCTGGTGTCCCTTATGGACGGCAGCCTGATCCTCCTTTGCAGATGCATAAGTCTCTTCTCTAGTATTTGATGGCTTTGGAGTGAGATGTGGAGAAGGGGGTTGTTGGCATTTCGCTCTAATCCATTCATGGCTAAACTTGCTCTCGGCTTGCGAGTTTCCCAGTGCACACAGCCCTGTTCCAGGTGATCTGTTCCCACCCCATATGTTAAGTTCAGGCAGTCTCTTGGAGCACCAAGTGTGGACTCAGGCAGCCTTGTCGGCCAACAGTCTAGACTCAGACAGAGTAACGCTGCCTATGGAAATTCATATTCCTTTGCCATGGTTCCAAAAGAATTAAAGAGACTCGGCCAACATTCCCTTCTCTGATTACGGAGCAGGAAGCCTTGGAGGTGGCGGACAAAAAAGAGGAAATTCCCATATTCCTTTGGACACCACTGGAGGCACAGAGGCAGTCAAATTCCCAGGCACTTTTAGCATAAGACATTGGTGCTTTCTTTGACTTCTTAGCCAAGAAAGCAAGAGGCAGGGGGATGCAAGGGTGCATGGGTGTCTCCGCCCAGAGGAGAAGAGCGACTCTGAGTTCTGGAACAGGACAAAGGCATGCCAGTTAACTTCCTTGGCAAGCTGGTCAAACTCAACCTTGAAGATTCTTCTCTGATGTGGCCAGCCCATAGGCCTGCACCCAGCTCTGAGCACACACAGTAAGTATGTGAGCTTTAGGCTCCAAAAAGCCCAGTTCACGCATGCCTGAGGGCCTCTGTTTGACAATACCTTTCCCATTTCACAGGTAAGAGATGCTGACATCTGGGGCTCTGGGGGCTGAGATGAGGATTGCGTGGGAAGCCGAAGGGCAGAGTGAGGGAGAGGGTTGAAGAACGGAACAGAACCTAAACCAGGTTCTGTGACCAGCTGCCCATCTCTGCGATCCTGGCTCTCTTGTGCCAGCTGTCTGTTGGAATGGCCTTACAATTTCCTATCCCAGACCTCCCCCTCCCAATAAGCAGCCTCGAGGTCTCCTCACACAGTTCATCCAGGACATGCTCTCCCATCATTCACTGAGCAAAGCTGAGGCCTCCACATGGCTTCCCTATCTGAGATGTTACCCCATCCCAAAGCTTATATGGTCTTTCAGTATGTCGATACCCATAAGCCTCATCCTTGGGGGAGACAGACCTGGACCGTGTACTTATGGTTGGGATGACAGGAGGGGTTAGGATATGAGACCTAGAGCTTCTAACAGGGGCCTGAGCCTGTGGAGGGCCTCAGCCATGGGAAACCATGTCAGCCCCAGAGCAGTAGCCTTGAGCACAGCATCTGTCCCTCAGCCAGCCTCCCCCAAGTGAGCAACAGGCTGCATTTTCAAGTGCATTTCCCCAGTTTCCCCTTGATCTCTGCTCTCCACTTTGTGTTCCAGAAACTGCTTTTGCACCACCTAAGTCTTCGAGTGCTTCTGACTCCCCATGCTCCAAAAGAAAGCATTTGAATCTGCCACACACAGGTATACACAGGTATACCCCACACATGTATATGCATACCAAACATGCAGGTTATAAGACTTACAATGACCGGCTCAAATGAAGCACGGGGCAGGCAACACTGTAGTGGTTAAGATGGGATAGCTGCATCCTCTATCAGAATATCTGTGTTTTGAGTTCTGGCTATACTCCCAATTCCAGCTGTCCGCAACATATACCCTGGGAGGCAACAGGTAGGTGGTGACTCAAGTACTTAGGTCCCTGGCACCCACGTGCAAGAGAGATGAAGCTCCTGGATCCTGCTTTCAACCTGGCTGGAGGGGAGGGTGTTAGTTTCCTGAACTTGACACTATTTGCTTAAAAAAAAAAAAACTGACACAGATTAGACATTGTTTATAGGGTTCCTGTGGCAACCAAGTCCTACACTGAGGCTTGAGAAAGGCACGTGGGGAGTGAAACAGCAGATGAAACATCTCTAATCTGTCTTTATTGAATTTACTCTCATTTATGTGAAAGACAAAAAGGGAGAAAGAGATTGAGAGATGGAGATGGAGAGATGGAGATGGAGGGGGGGGGAAGAGAGAGAGAGAGGTGTGCAGATTGATTTTCTGTCTGTTGGCTTATCTCCCAATGGCCACAGCTGCAGTTTTATGGAGTTTCTAGCCCCCCCCTTCAGTAGCCTTGGAAAAGCGTCGTCTGGTTCCTCCGTGGACCTTATTTACCCTGAGGGCTGGACATTATCCATTCCTGCATAGGCTAACACATACACAGAAATTTCCACTCCATCACAGCAGAATATACATTCTCAAACGCATGATTTTTCAGTTGGTCATCTCGTACAGCCCACGAATGATGTTCTAAATACCCTTGGCAGAGTTGTTCACGTCTACTGTTCCCGCACAGATTTCTCTCTCCACGTGTTGTATTCATCCTACAAAGAGGCTGTTGAAATCTGTTAGTATTATATAGGTGTGGCTTTCTCTTTTCAGATCTGCCACTATCTGTCTATGCACTGAGGAGCTCTGCTGCTGGGTGGGTGTATGTGTAGCAATGGCTGTATCTTCTGACAGATCTCAATCACCTTCAGCTCCTGTTGATTAGGTCTGTGTTCTAAGTCCATACTGTCAGGTATAGTGTTGTTACTCATATGTTTAATTATTCATTTACTTGTTCCTAGTTAACTGGAATATCATCTTTGCCCATCCCTACCTGTACCTTTGCATCTGTTAATGAGTTTCTTGCAGTTTGACCTTGTGGTTTTCTGTTGGCTTTTCTTGTTCGCTTTGGTTCCTAATTCAGACACTATGGGCCTTTTTATTTGCAAGTTTGGTCCATTTCCTCGTAGAGCAAGTGTTGCCTGGGCAGGCTGTGCTGCAGCCCCCTCATCCGTTTTCTGTTGGTCCCATACTTCTCCTGGCTTTTCCCTCCCTCTCTCTTGCGTATTTTTCCTTTTCATTCCTTTATTTTTCACATGTTCCGATTCTCTCTTATTTTTCTTCCGTGTTTTCTTTTTTAAACTTCCTTGAGTTTTTCTTCTTCGGCAGGTCTGCTGGTGACAAATCCTTTGCCTATGGTTAATCTGAGAACCCCTTTCCTCTTCAGCACGGAAGGAGGAATTTGCTGGGTAGAATGTTCTTGGCTGGCAAAGTTTTCCTCCCTTATTATCCTGAGAGCATCACCCTGACCCACAAGGCTTCTGTTGTATTGGCATGAATATAAAAGAAAGGCTTCCCGTGGAAGGATGGGGCTATAAACTGGTACCGTCATTATGGCAAACATTTCAGAAGAAGGTATCTCAAAAAAATCAAACTCGGAACTGTAAGAACCAGCAACCGGACCCGGCGGTGTGGCCTAGCGGCTAAAGTCCTTGCCTTGTATGCACCAGGATCCCATATGGGCGCCGGTTCTTATCCCAGAAGCTTTACTTCCCATCCAACTCCCTGCTTGTGGCCTGGGAAAGCAGTTGAGGATGGCCCAAAGCTTTGGGACCCTGCACCAGCGTGGGAGACCCAGAAGAGGTTCCTGGTTCCCAGCTTCGGATCAGCACAGCACCGGCCGTTGTGCTCACTTGGGGAGTGACTCATAGGATGGAAGATCTTCCTCTCTGTTTCTTCTCCTCTCTGTATATCTGACTTTGCAATAAAAATAAACAAATCTTTAAAAAAAGAAAGAACCAGCAACCCATCTCTTTTGAGGACACACCAGCAGAAAGTGGTAGATATCTGCATTCCTATGTTCCTGCAGCTCTAGTTCCTGTGGCCAAGATCCAGCAATAACCTAAGTTGTCTGCCCACAGGTGAGTGGGCAATGGAACTGCACTGCACACTCTTCACAATGAAATATCATTCAGTCTCTAGTCTTGGAACATAAAGGGTCCACCAATCCAGACCACACGGATGAACATGGAAGACATTATGCTAAGTGAAATAAACCAGAGACAGGAAGAAAAACACAGCCTGAGCTCACTTATGTGTGGAATCCGAGAAAATGAAAAATGCAGAAACAGGGAGCAGAATCCTGGTGGTTATGTATGATAATTGTTTCGCTATGCAAATTTATATTAAAGCATCTTGTACACATCAAATATGTACAATAAAAAATTCACAAAGTCAACAGCGGTGGCTATTCCAATTCACTGCAATTCTGGGTGCTTTGTTAACCCTCAACAGGGTATCAGAATCCTCTGTCTTCGCTAACCCAGGCAATGCAATGGACCAAAATGGGCTGTTCATGCCAAACCCTAGTAAATCTCTAGTTCAACCAAGACTGCCTTCAGGCAGAGAATGACAGGCAACAC